AAAGACGGTAAGAGCCCTGGCAGGTTTGGCTCAGTGGTTAAAGCGTCTGCCCATGGACCAGAGAGTCATGGGTTTGATTTCTGATCAAGGGCACATACCTGGGTTTTAGGATCGATCCCCGGCCTCTGTTGGGGTCATGTAGGAGGCAACCAATTGATGTGTCTCTCTCACATCATGTTTCTCTCCCTCCCTCTCTCCCTTCTACTTTTTCTAAAAATCAGTGGAAAAATATGCTCAGATGAGTATTAACAACAGCAACAACAACAACAAAAAGACAGTAAAAGGTGGTGGTGAGGATATGGAGAAATTGGAACCGTGCTGGTGGAAATGTAGAATGGTTCACTGCTTTGGAAAAGAGTCTGGCACTTACTCAAAAAGGTTAAACATCGTTACCATATGACCTAGTATTTCCACTCATGGGTGAATAGAATGTGAATTATACCTCAATAAAAAGTTATTTTTAAAAATTCAAATATACAGAGGATTTTAAACTTGTACTTGTCCATATAATTGATTTTTTTAAAACTATGTTTTTATTGATTTTTTTAAACTTCTCTTGTTGAATGTATTACAAGTGTCCCCCCCTCCCCCTTTTTCATTTTTATTGATTTTTTAGAGAGAGAGAAACATCAATGAGAGAACCATCGATCAGCCACCTCCCGCACACTCCCCACTGAGGATCGAGTCCAAAACCAGGGCATGTGCTCTGACCAGGAATTTTTCCATTTATCTTCAGATAGACTGGAAGGGAAGGAGAGAGAAACATCAATGTGAGAGGGACTCATCGACTGGTTGCCTCCCGCACAACCCCAACCAAGGCCGAGGACAAACTGCAACTGAGGTATATGCTCTTGACCAGAATCAAACCCGAAACTCATTGGTCTGCGGGCCAGTGCTCTAACCTCTAAGCCAAACCAGCCAGGGCTGAACCAGCACCTTGTGCTGCATGGGTCAACATTCAACCACTGAGCCATACCAGCCAGGCATATATATAATTGATTTTTTTTTTTTTAAGTATAATTTCTTTAAAAAAATTTTTTAAATGTGTTTTTAATTGATTTTTTAGAGAGAGAGAGATAGAAACATTAGTGTGAGAGAGATACATCAATCAGCTACTTCCTGTTACTCCAGGTGGTTGGTGCCAAAACTTTTTTTTTATCCTCACCCGAGGACTTTTTTTGCATTTATCTTCAGACTGAGCGGGAGGGGGTGAGGAAGAGAGAGAGAGAAACATCAATGTGAGAGAGACACATCAAATGGTTGCCACCCACACGACCCCAGCCAGGGCTGGGGACAAACTGCAACCGAGGTACATGCCCTTAGCTGCAACCAAACACAGGACTCTCTGGTCCGCAGGCCAGCATTCTAACTGCTGAGCCAAACTGGCTAGGGCTATTGATGCCAAAACTTAATGGTCAGACACCTATCTAGTTGAGGTTGAAACAAAGTGACTGGACACAACCTATTTCTCTTTCCCATGGATGACATAGGGTAAACCTTGGCAAAATTTTTTGCTGCTTAAGAGTCCACACGAATCAAACCTTACTTGTTGAAACATTTTTGAGAGTAAAATGCAGTTGATTAAATTTTAAACCTTAAGTTTAGCCTTAAAGCCTAGTTGCAGCATCATTCCAAAAATCTTTCTAGTTTGTTGACCTTTTTCCTCTGAAGAGTTTTGCTTTTGTGTCATCAAATCTTTTTACTTTTTTCTTTCTGTAATGCAGTAATGTGAATAATTAGATATTACTATTATCCTTTTTTTATGTTCCAATTTGGCGTAAAAATACTTGCCCAACATTCCAGCTGCAAAGTGGTCAGGCCAGCATCTGAGCCTAAGTCTGACTAGCAGAGCCCATGCATTTTTAACCACTCTACTGCATGGCCTCCAGCTGCATCTGTCCTCGCCACTCATCCCCTGAATCAAAGTAAGAGCAGAGAAAGGAAGAGAATTTGAAAACTGGTTTCCCAAGGAACAGAAAGGAAGAGAGGGAGGAGGAGGAGGGCCAATTCCTGTTAGAGAGGGGCAGAAATTTTTAGTCATTTGAAAGTTCTCTTAGGTTCCCTTAAATCTGAGAGTGAAAATGTAGAGGTAGGATTATTTTGCCTCTACACCATTAGAACAACAGTTTAATTACAGCATGAAACTTTTGGGTATTTAATTTTGAGTTATGATTCTATGGTTATGATTCTGTTGACTTCAGACTGTTTAAAATATTGATGTTTCTTCAGCATTTTAGTTCATGTTGTTTTTTTTAAATCTTCACCCGAGGACATTTTAGTATTCATCTTCAGATAGAGCGGGAGGGAGAAAGAGAGAGAAACATCGATGTGAGAGAGACACATCGACTGGTTGCCACTCTCACAACCCCAACTGGGGCCGGGGACAAACTGCAACTGAGGTACGTGCCCTTATCGGGAACCGAACCCAGGACTCTCTGGTCCGCGGGCCGATGTTCTAACTGCTGAGCCAAACCAGCCAGGGCTAGTCCATGTTTCTTTAGTTGGTTAATGGATGTAGGGAAATTCTTGAAGGATTTTAAGCTGGGGAACATTAGTAATATAGTAAGCATGATTTAGGCTTCATTTATTGTTTCTTGCTCACAGTAACTTGCACTGAGGCACAAATGGCACATTAAACGGGTTCCATCTTCACTACCCATTACTAACCTAGGATGCCCCCAGTTTGATCTTTGTCATTGTGTTAAGTCCATCAGGAAATTGCATCTGAGTATCTAATTGCAAGTTTACCCCTATAAAAGTAGCAATTTACAATTTGTGTTTGTTTTTTTCTGGTGGGTTTTTGTTTGTTTTTAGTAGGGGAGAGGAGAATGTGTTGCCATCCTTGCATGTATGAGATTAATAAGTGAAATTAATTTTAGTTTTTAAATGTTAAGTTTTGGTCTCTTGGCAAAAGGATTTTTATTTTATCAAGTAGGGAAAACTCACTTCAGTGCTGGAAATTACTTACTTGTTTGTATACTCCTTATATTCAAACTTAATATGCTAGTTTATGACATCAAATTTGGGACACGGCTATTGATTTGTGTATCTATTTTTTGAACTTTTTATAGGAAGTTTGAAAATTTTTTTCATTGTGTAATGGTTCTTTAGAAACCGTATTTGGATACAGCTTGTTCATGTCTGCTATATGTTTATTTGCTTTGTAACCATGTTTATAAATTTCATTTACAGTATTTTTTCTGGAAGTTTAAAATCAGGTTTCGAAAATGGTATGATAAAAAAAATATTTGAGGTGACTTAAAAACAGTGCTAAATAAATTAAACTCAGCACTTTTGTTTCGAACTTCTCCAGTTTAATATCTACTGAATTGGTTGACAAACTACTACGGTCTTTATCTGCCTGTATGAGATTTTATTGGAACATAGCCTGCACTCATTACATTTATGTTTTTGTCCACTCTGCCTGCTGTGTGGTGGGTTTTATCCATAGATCCAACAAACATCTAGATAGATCTGAAAGACTTCTTTCCTGTATGTCATTACACTAGCTTTTGGGCTTTGTATATGTTTCTTTTCCTTTTATAGTTCACTGATCACTTCATTGAGATTGGTCTTCCCTTTTTTTTCTGCAACAGGATCCCTGTATGTGATAGGGAAGTGATGCTGTCTGAAGGTGACATGCTCTTCTCCTTTCTTCCTTCTGTCCTCTCACTCCCTATTTTGGCCTCCTGGTAATTGGGGCAGGGTGGGGATGGGGGAATGCTAGTCTAAACTAAAATGAAATTGCTTTAACTATTTCCCTGTTACTTGAAAAACCTTCCCTGGCCGGCAGTTAAGAAATAAAAGTTACCTAATTTTTGCCACAGTCTGTTTTGGGGTCATAGGGTCTTTTGAAAATCAGAAAAATGTTGTAGAGCTATTCAGGGCAGGGGGGATATATTTAGAAATAGATTATTACAGAAAACTTCAGAAGTGCTGAAGTTAACTCTTGCTGGGGAGTGGGGGTGAGGAGGTCTATAGATTCTAGGTTAGGACCCCTGCTCCAGCCCCTCTGCTAGGAATAGAGTGAGGAAACAAAACAGGTTAAGAGTGGGAAATAAAGCTGATGTTAATTCAACTCAGTGTTCTTCACTATTGTTATAGCTGAGATTTGTTCAGTATTCTTTGATTCATTTTTAGATGTTTAAGTATAAATGTGTGACTTTAATATTGTAACATGTAATTGTGATGGTAACCACATCTGATGTTAGAACTTCAGATATAAACATTTGAGAAAAATAATTACTTTTAGATGTTCTCAAAATAAGTCACTGGCTTAGGATAGAGTTATCATAGCATTTTCAGATTGTGAAGGAAAAAAGTTAAGCCCTTGGCGTTGAGACTTGGACCTGCCAGCTCTTGCTTTGTGCTCAGCAGTAGAGTAGTGAAGTTCCATTGGTTGGGCTGCTTGTTTCTGGTCTTGTCCTCTTCACTTTCGCATGAGCTTTCCACTCCTCCAGTGTTTCCTAAACTTTATTCATTGAATACCATCTTCATGATTTGCCTTTCTGCACATTTTCTGGCTATTCTATAAATCCACTCACTTTTTAACATTTAAATTTATGTACGTAATTACTGTATGAAATAAGGGGTTGATGTACTAGTTCTTTTCTATTTGCTACTTAGAGAAACATGTACAGATTGGGTTTGTTTCGCCTAATATTGCCTTTTATCTTTCTAGAGGGCATCAAGTCCAATTTAGGAAACACTCCTTATGTGCTGGAATTTAAAGCTCTGACCTTGAGCCAGAGTATGCTCTGTAGAAGCTACTTGTGCTTGGAAGTATTAGTGGAGTTGAGGGGTCACAGTATGGGTGGGTGCTGCCTGCTGCAATACTGCTTGCTTGGGCAAATTCATATTCTAAATATGGAAATATTTGGCTGTGTGCATGGCAAAGCTTGGAATCCTGGCCTTGCAGTGTTGGTTTGTTTTTTAATCTGGACATGCACGCACACAATATATGTATCTCCACATTTCACAAATTTTATTTTCTTTTGCAGGTTTGATCTTGCTCTTCTACCTTGTCTTCTATGGGTTCCTGGCTGCACTCTTCACATTCACAATGTGGGTTATGCTTCAGACTCTGAATGATGAGGTTCCAAAATATCGTGACCAGATTTCTAGTCCAGGTAATGCACTTGCAGTTGTCATGGCTTTTATCTCTTCATCGTAAATGTTTTACATAGCAGATAAAAGGTAGTTCAACCTTGGCCTTAAGTAATGAGAAAGTTTTGATTTTTGTTTGTTGTTTAATATTTACACAGTGATAGAAAGACCTTTAATATTTACATACTGATATAAAGGCCTTTAGTGTTTACATACTGATACAAAGACTTGGGCTGATAAGTCTTTTGTCCTTTGCCAGGAGTAAGCAGAAATGAATATTGAGAATTATAGTGAAGCCAAATTTGGTGAATATAGGTATGAATGGCTTTTATGAATAGTATAGTAGTTTCACTGTATCCTGAGTTAATTTACTTATAAAGTATATACTTCAACTCTAGCTCAGGTTAGAGTCTTGGTCTTGTAAAATACATGTTTCGTGGTTTTTAATTGCTTAGTATGGAAGTGGTAAGAAATACTAAATAATGATACAGTAATAGAAAATAAAATGAATATATTCTTTGGTGTGTTTAATTCTACTTTATTAATAATCTTAAAAGGAAAAAGTCTCCAGGATACTTTAGTGCAGAAAAAACCTTAACTGAAACATTATTTAAATCACATTGTTGGCTCCCTGGTATTTATTTATTTATTTATTGAGACTTTTACTTTTATTGATTTATTTTAGAGAGGGAGAGAAACATTGATTTGTTGTTTCACTTATTTATGCATTCGTTGGTTGGTTTCTGTATGTATCCTGACTGGGGATCGAACCCACAATCTTGGTATATTGGGATGGTGCTCTAACCAACTAAGCCACCTGGCCAGAGCTGCAACAGTCTTTGAGTGCCAGCTCTGCCTTCATTGTCTTCGAGGTGCCGGAAATTTTTATAGAAGATAATTAAGTGCCAGAAACCCTGTGTATATTCCCCAAAATGTGAACTTGTGGAGATAACAGAGATGGAAGGCTTCACATGGAGGAGTGGGATCTGGGTGGCAGGGAAGGTGGGGATCTAGCAGGGAGTTTCTATCTGGAGCAGTGGTTCTTATCCAGCGGGGACTTGGGGAGGGCCATTCGGTCATGTCTGGAGAACACCTTTTTGGTTGTCACACCTAAGCGGTGCCACTGTGAGTAGAGGCCAAGCATGTTGCTAAATAAACATCCTACGGTGCACAGGACAACCCGCCACAACAAAGAATTACTCAGTTCAAAATGGCAGTGGTGCCAAGACAGGAAGGAACCCTGTAGATCCTTGCTCACTGCACAGACTTCTGAGCCATGTCAGCAGCCAAACTGAACCAGTTTCCTCACCTATTTTCTCTTAGAATAGTTTGTTCTAAAGGCTTTTCCTTTGTTTGAAGCTACTATTTGTCTAAATGTCATGAATAATTCTTAATCCTTTCAGTGTATTTGACCAAATATCAAATTAGCTCCGTGCTAATTTTTCCTCATCTCTCATTGTAGCTATTTTCTTTCAACCTAGACTAATTCTAAGATAATTATTTTTCTTGCTAAAGTTGTCAGTTAATTACCATTGAACACAATCTGATCTATTTCAGAAATATTAAACTATTTATAATTGCATGATTAATATAAGCAGTAAATTATGTTTAATATGTTTTAAGTACACATTTTTTTGTTTTTTATTGTTTTGTTTTTTAGAGAGAGAGAGAGAAACATGGATGTGAGAGAGAAATATCAGTTGACTGCCTCCTGCATGCCCCCGACTGGGCATCGAGCCCGAAACCCAGGCATGTGCCCTGACCAGGAATCGAACCAGGACCTCTCAGTCCATGGGATGATGCTAAATAGACAGTTTGTTTTTTATCCTCACTCAAGGACATTTTTCGATATTTTGTTTAGATAGAGTGGGAGGGAGAGAGAGAGAGAGAAACATTGACGTGAAAGGGACACATTGAGCGGTTGCCACCCACACGACCCAATCAGGGCCGGGGACAAACTGCAACCGAGGTACGTGCCCTTAGTGGGAACCGAACCCGGGTCTCTCTGGACACAGACCGATGCTCTAACCACTGAGCAAAACCGACCAGGGCTAAATACACAGTTTTAAACTGAGTTCCTTAAAATTATTTACCAAGTGTATTGTAGTACTTAATGTATCATTACTTTAATTTTTTTTTCCTTTATTGATTTTAGAGAGAGGGAGAGACAGATAGAAACATCAATGAGAAAGAACATTGATTGGCTGCCTCCACCATGCCTCTCCACTGGGGATCAGGCGCACAACCTGGGCATGTGCCCTGACTGGGAATCGAACTGGCAATCTCTTGGTGCATGGGTCGATGCTCAACCACTGAGCCACACCAGTCCGACTGTATCATTACTTTAAATAAAGAAATGTATATGCATATACATTCATATGTATATGTAATATTATATAAATATACATTAGTTTGTTAAACATGAATTTCTCTTCATAAAGTGATTATGGGCAATTTTTGTTTTTCTTCTACTTGTATCTTCTAAGTTGTTTTTTTTTTAAAACCGTGACCATCATTTCAATGTGTTCGTACCCAGTAAAATAAATGCTAGTTTCAAGTTGGTGTGCATATTTTTATGTATATTAACACAAACACATACTGCCTGTCCACACCCCTACAGACACACACACACTCATACCCTAGGGGTTTAAATTGGAAAGAGATAGGAGTTATTGTGGTCCTCACATTCAATTGAGGTTCTTGGTTTGGGGTAAGCTAAGACCTTTATTTGGAGTCTACTATGTCAAAAACGCAGCTGTACTGCACTCTCCTGCTTTGAAGTTTTTACTTAAGAATTTCAAATGAGCTGTTAAATATCAGGAACTAGGGCTCCAAGGTCATTGCTATGCAGTCTCAGAAATAACTGGTATCAGAAATTCAGTTTTGCATGTTCATACAGAGCTTTTGTAAATTGAATTATTTTTTAAAATTTGGTTAGAAATTAATCATGTAAGGAATGCAGTTTTTAAATATAGCATAGATATATTTCTGTTTTTCTTTAAATTAATTTAGAAATCTGCATGTTTTATTTTGGGTTTTTCTTAAAAGTTAGGTGTTTTTATAGTTACAGGCAAGCTGCTGTGACCATTACATTTTGCTTGCAGTATAATATATCTCATTCTTGCTATAAACCTTAAGAAAAACAAACTCAGACATACACAGATCGTCCTTTCATACATTGGATGGTCAGAGGTTTTATTTCTACTGTCGACCTAAGAAATGTCCAAACCTGTAGAGAATTTTAAGAATAGTTTGTTTGAGCCAAAATGATGACATTGCTAGGAAGCAAGATCTCAGATGCTCCCCAGAAGGACAGTCTGCAGTTTAAGGAGGGAATGTAAGGAAGGTTACAGGAAGGGGAGAGAAAGCAGAGCTCTGGGGACTGGATTACAGGGGGTAGTTAACAAAATTGCTAACACAATTATCTGCTCTCTTAAGGGTGGTTACCTTCCTGAGGGGTCTGAAAAAGAGGCATTTGAAATATGTGTGAACTAAATGCACAGGGACAATGAATAGGACTTGCTTAAGGCAAAGATAAACTTATACTAGGGAAATTAGAGGCCTGAGGCTGGACTAGCCACCATGACCTGCCCAGTTATGTGTTTATAATCAGATCACTCTGTGAGGTTCCTTTTGGTTAGATTTATTAGCTCCCCTTTTTTGTCCACACTACATTAAATACTTTATTTTAAAAAAATCATAGTTAGCCTGGCTGGTGTGGTTCAGTGGTTGAGCGTCGACCCCTGCAAGAAGAGGTCGCCGGTTCAATTCCCAGTCATGGCACATGCCCAGGTTGTGGGCCTGATCCCCAGTGGGGGCCATGCAGGAGGCAGTCAGTCGATGTTCTCTCTCATGGATGTTTCTGTCTCTTCTCTCCCTCTTCCTTCCTCTCTCTCTCTCTCTGAAATCAATAAAGAAAAAAAATTTTTTTTAATCAGAAGTTACTATTGATTTTTATAGTAATTTTGCTGTGGGTGGATTGGTTAAGAAAAAATAGGCACATGGGATCATCCAAACTCAAGTGATCTGCTTATGTTGTTATAGGTGAATGGGGAGTTTGATCATGGGGCTCATTTGTGCCTTATGCAGCATAGATTTGCTCAGTCATTTAGGAATAGTGTTTCATCATATTTGGGTAGCAGTGGATCTAGTTTAACTCAAGAGCCATGCAATTCAACATTGGCAAGTATGTAGAGTTTTTAAAAAGCTGGATCTGACTTAAAAAGAAATAGATGTCTATGGGCAGCAATTCTAATGAAAACTAAAACAATACTTACTATTTCTATATTTTCCAATTAATGCAAGGCAGGAATATCATCTCTAACAACTTTGCTAGGGGAATGTTTAGAGGCCAGTGAAAATTTTAGGATTGTTTTAAGACTTTTCAAGACTGAATTAATAATCTAGATATAAAGTTTTTTAAATGAGGAAAGCTTATATTAAAGTTGGAATCCTGAATACATTACTTACAGATAAATATGCTTACATTTTCTGTTAATAAACTCATGCAACATGTTCTATACATATGGGTGTTGACTCCTGATATGAAATTATTGGTTATACTCCAAATTCAGTATGAGAAAACATTTTACAGAGTAGTGTTATTATTAAAGGAATAATATTGAACCATAGAGTTAAAATTGTATAGTCCTCTTTCACTGAATAAGGTAAGCTTTATGAAAGTTTCCATACAGCTAAAATTTGAATGACAAAGTGCTTAGATTTGATGTGCTAAAATTTTTCTCCATATATTAATGGCAGATTGGCAGAACCTAAAAATATTTGATAGAAAAATTAAAATAGAAATGACAAAGTAAAACTTGCATCTTTTAAAGAACAGAGAAATTATAATTAGCTGTAGCCAGTCAGATTTAGGGAGGTTTCTAATTGGTGTGAAGTGATTTTGAGGATTTAGGATTCTCTTCATTGTAGCTGTCGACCTTCGTAGTCAGAAGTGGGAAGTTCTTGATAATTTCAACCTACCTGTGAACACAAATTTCCATGCAGTTTACTGAATCTGCCTTTTAGGGGTAAGAGGAATGAGAGAAGGAATTTACTACAATTAATTTTCCCCTTTCTCTTTATAGGACTTATGGTTTTTCCAAAACCAGTGTCAGCGTTGGAATATTCATTCAGCATGTCTGATCCAGACTCCTATAAAGGGTACATTGACGACCTTAAGAAGTTTCTAAAGCGTAAGTGTGTTTTCTTAGAGTAAGGTAAACGGTTTCAATTATTATGGGAACTAGTACGAAATTATGATTACATTGGGAACATCATTCTTAGAGTTTATTTATTTATTTTTTTTCTTCCTGTCAAACATAGTTAACTAAGAGGACTTGCAAGATTTTATATTCTTTTTTTAATCCTCACCCTAGGATATTTTCCCATTCATCTTCAAATTGAGTGAGAGGGAGGAAGGGAGAGAAACATCAATGTGAGAGAGACACATCGATTGGTTGCCTTCCACATGACCCCAACCAGGGCCCGGGATCAATCGCAACCAAGGTACGTGCCCTTGACCAGGATGGACCTGCAAATCTTTGGTCTGTGGTCCTACGCCCTAACCAGCCAGGGCTTATATTCTAATATTCAAACTTATGGAAAGACATAGGGGCCCAGCTGGTGTGGCTCAGTGGTTGAGTGTCGACCTATGCACCAAGAGGTCGCAGTTCAATTACCGGTCAGGGCACATGCCCAGGTTGTGGGCCTGATCCCCAGTGGGGGGCATGCAGGAGGCAGCCGATCAGTGTTCTCTCTCATCAGTGTTTCTGTCTCTATCTCCCTCTCCCTTCCTCTCTCTCTAACATCAATAAAGAAAAAAAATACAGCCCTGGCCAGTTTGGTTCAGTGGTTAGAGCGTCAGCCTGCGGTCCTGAGAGACCCGGGTTCGGTTCCCGCTAAGGGTGCGTACCTTGGATGCAGTTTGTCCCCGGCCCTGGTTGGTCGTGCGGGTGGCAGCCACTCGATGTGTCCCTTTCACGTCGATATTTCTCTCTCTCTCTGTTTTTCTCTCTCCCTCCCACTCTACCTGAACAAAAAATGGGAAAATGTCCTCAGCTGAGGATAAAAAAAAAAGAAAAAAATACATATATATTTTTTAAAAAAGACACTAGGGGTCAAAGCCTAACAAGTGGTTGCTTTGATTTTTTAATTCTGTAAGAAATACATGAGGAAGTTCATGGAGATATAACATTTATATCTGCATTAAAATGGAAAGTATTTGAGTTGTAGAATAAAATTGTATTATATAAAATAATACCTCTAAGTACTTGGATCTTTTGCATCTTGTGTAGGGTCTAGGAATGTTGTTTATCAGAAAAGAAAAGAAAAGAAAAGAAAAGAAAAGAAAATCTATCAGTTTTGAGTTTTTTGGAATTACCAGGAATAAAGCTTTCCCTCCTCAGCCAGTTTGTTCTCAGGTTTTGCTTGTCCTCATTCCATGGTATGAACATTCACATGAATAATCTCAAATGCCTTGGCCTCTGGTTCTTGATTGCCTCGCCTCTTCTCCAGCCACACACCTACAGCCATCCTCAGAGCATGTAGGACGCCATTGCCAAAACCACTGCCCGAGGCTTTCCTGCCACCACCTTCCAGCCTAATCTGTTTGCTTCCCTCACTATTCTTCCGCGTCACTGGGACTTTCAATCCACTGGCCCTTTTATCCTAGCCCCTCATCCCAGTTTCCCTTCTTAATTGATCCTTATTCCTTATTTACTCTTGCCAGTATGCTAAAACCATTGCCTCGAAGTCTATTTGTCATAAATTGTGAATGGAGAAGCCATAAAATTCCTGATGAAACTTTTCCTTAGACCCTTTCACCTGAGCAGCCAGGTGGTGCTGAAGACAGGTTTTCAGCAGAACTAATTAGCGCTGGAATACTTGGTCACCTCCCTGGATCTGCTTTACTACCCTTTCCATTAGAACTCACTTTTGTCATACACAGTCATGTGCCACATAACGATGGTTCAAATGTTAACTGCATTAACATACTAGTCCCATGAAATTAGAATGGAGCTGAAAAATTCCTATCGTGTAGCAACATGGTAGCCATCATAAGGCTTTATTGCAAGGCATTACACAAATACCATTGTATTACAGTTGCCAACAGTGTTCAGTACAGCAAAGTGCCATACAGGTTTGTAGCCTAGGAACTGTAGGAGAACAGAACTTGTCACCTCAAAATGTCTCTGGCATAGGGATTATTTTAGGCTGGTTAATTTTAACACATTGCGTACCGCATAGAAATCTCTAAGACATATACCAGGGACTGCACATTTTTGGGCAAACTGCACATTAGGCTCTGAGCTGCACTCATTTGAACCAGCAGATATCCTTTCCCCAGCTACTTCAAGAATACAGAATGGTGTGCTGTTTTTTTGAACTTCGACCCTCAGGGTGAAGAGTCCCAAATACAATAATCCTATATTACCCTGAGTTTAAAAACTGAAATAGCTAATGCAAGTGCAAACCGAGTTAACTCATGCACAGTCCGCAACGTTTGGGCAGGAAAACAGTTAGTTCGTGAGCGGTCAAAAATGTGATACAATGTAACTGCGATGCTTTTGGGTTCCTGCAATTATATAGTTTTTCATAGTTTGACCTGCACGGTTTCCACCAATGAGATCACTTCATTCGATGTGGACAAGACAGTGTGTTGACATCTAAGGTCCATAATGGATGGACCGTGAAAAACGAGAAAACTCGTGAGCGGTCCTTAACAGATGGTGAGTGAAACATGAGAAAACTCGTGAGCGGTAACGCAATGTGTTAACAAACAGCAGCCATAGGAGCAGCTCTGAAAACCACCTAGCAGTTGCCCTTGGTAAAAGACTTTTATATTTGTACGGACCATCTCCATTTGTAAGGGGGTTGAACTTATCTCTGGACGCTCTTATCAGTGCAGAAGACAGAGATGCAAACCTGCACAGCACCCTTACCCTTGTTCACTGTGCTTCTCCAGATAACCTCCCCTAACTGACACCCCAACCCAACGTCTTTTGTCTTCAGCTGAAGGTTTTAGCTTCAGCCATCTTGGCTAATTACTCAGTTTTCCTGGGTCTTTCCCATGTATACAGGAGGTATACATGTTGTTAAACTTTTGTTTTTCTCCTGTTAAGCTATCTTTTATTATAGAGATGTCTCAGCCAAAAGGTTAGATTCCTGGTTGTGATTAAGATCTTTTGTGTCTGATCTATGCACACGTTTCCTTTTTAGCATATGCTTTAGAAGAACAGAAGAAGAAGAATCTCAGAGTCTGTGGTGATGGAGTACTCTTTGAACAGAGTGGTCCAGTTTACGAAGCATGTCAGTTTCCTCTTGATTTACTTCAAGCATGCAGTGGGGTGAATGATCCTGACTTCGGCTACTCCAGTGGAAACCCTTGTATTCTTGTGAAAATGAATAGAGTATGTACATATTTTGCTGCTGTTGCTGCTTTTTTCTAATACCCTCTATTAAGAAACTGGCAGGCCCTGGCCGGTTTGGCTCAGTGGTTAGAGCGTCAGCCTGCGGTCCAAAGAGACCCGAGTTCCATTCCCGCTAAGGGCATGTACCTCAGTTGTAGTTTGCCCCCGGCCCTGGTTGGGTCGTGTGTGTGGCAGCCACTGGATGTGTCCCTTTCATGACGATGGTTCTCGCTCTCTCTCTCTCTCTCTCTCCCTCCCACTCTATCTGAACAAAAAATGGAAAAATGTCCTCAGGTGAGGATAAAAAAAAAAAAAAAGCTGGCAGGTGTTTTTTGTTTGTTTAATCCTCACCTGGGGATATTTTTTTCATTGATTTTTTTTTTTTTAAGGGAATGGAAGGGGAGGGAGGGAGAGAAATACACATCAATTGGTTGCTTCCATCACATGTCCCAACCAGGGCCAGGGATCGAACCTACAACCCAGGTACTTGCTGGCAATTGAACCAAAGACCCTTTAGTGCACAGACTGATACTCTAACCACTGAGCCACAGTGGTCAGGCTATTTTTTTTTTATTGATTTTATGAGACTAGTGCTCTAACCCCTGAGCTACAGAGCCTTTTATTGTTTTTAGAGAGAGGGAAAGGGAGAAGGAGAGACAGACAGAAACATTGATGAGAAAGAATATCAATTGGCTGCCTCCTGCATGCCTTTCACTGGGGATTTGACCCACAACCTGGGCATGTGCCCTGACCAGGAATCGAACCAGTGACTTCTTGATGCATGGGTCAGTGCTCAGCTAGTGAGCCACACCAGCTGGGCAAGGGATATTTTTTAAGTATTATCATTTGGGATAACCCATGTAAAAGGCTAACAGTGATGCTGATTGACTTTTGGGAAAAGTAATGCAAGAAACAAACAAGATTGGTTTACTGTTTTAGGCAGTAAAGCAACCACCTCTTTTCCCTTTTGGAGATAGTTTACATGCATTTAGGCATAGGCAAATACTTCAAGGGGCAGGTGTTCTGGGTGTCATGTCCAGAGCATGGTTTTGTTAATGTGCAGTGCTCGTCTTTGAATCCTGTGGTGCAATTTAAAATCTCCTGGGGAATATATGAAGTTTTGACTTATTTTTAGTAGGAAAGTATAATTTTATACTATACATATACATGTAATTAAATAGTAGAAATACAACTAAAGTTGCATTATAATGAGCTCAGTTGTAGCCAGTTAGCAACATTTTACTGTGCTGTGCAGAAGAGGGACCTGAATTGTGTAGCCATTAGGGAATTAAGAAGCTAATGTTCTCTCCCTGTGTGAGTGATGGTAACTTGCCATCATGGTACAAAGGAAGCCACCTCCCCTCCCTAAATGTTGTACTTTGGAGTTGTGTTCTGGTGCATTTATCCTGTTGAGGCCTGCAAGGTATAGACCTCTCAAGGTCACTGAATTCACATATCCCTAAAGTTATCCAATAAGCAAATTGCTGCCATCCTTAATAACAGTACTGCTTGAATCTTCAGAAGTTGGCACTGCTAAATAAGGAATTTCCCTGTAGGTAGAGCCAGCTAGATCCTAAAATGCCCATGCTGACACCCTTTCAGCCTCCCCCAGTGGACGACAGTTTCCTGTTTATCCCACAGCACTCTAGAGATTGTTCTGAAACTGCCTGACACATAGTAGGTGCTAATAAATGATTGAGGGATGTTGCAGCAAGACTTTGTTAAGAATTAAGGTTAATAAAGTATTGTGAAACTAGAAGATATAGCTTGTAAGATCAGTTACTTTTTTTTCTTTAACAGGATGCCCTTTATAATCCCAACCTCCTAGGAGTGTCTTCAGGACAATTAAGATCCCTGGAAGACCTATTCCCAATATAAAGCCAAGAGAATGTTCAGTTCCTTCTTCCACTGGACCACCCTTCTGAGTTTATTTTCTCTCTCCATATGTCCTCTTTGAATGATGAGGGTCTGAGATTCTACTTGCTGATGGGGCGTGGCTTTGCAGAGCATGGCAGGAAGACATCAGGCGCACAGGGATCAGCAACGAGATGTGCATGCCTGGTGGAGCAGGGAACTTAATCCTAGTGTAGTGTGTTCCCAAGTCATTACATGGGCAAGGGTAGTTATTGCTGCTTATATTATTATTTAGGTTGCTGTAATACTTGTCTTCTGCAAGGAATATTTACATTTTACAGGCATTCACATGTAAAATGCATATAAATTCAAAATCTCACAAAATAGTTGGATAAATATCTGTTATTCATACAGAGTTATGTCAACTACAGACATGGGAGTTCCTCAGTCTATAGAACTGAATGGTGCTGTGAGAGTCTTAAAATGAGGTTCTCCCAGTGTGTGTATTTTATGGAGCAGATAGACGTGGAATGTAGTCAGGCTCTCTGGAAGCTTTATGGAAACATGAGAACTGTGACCTAACATCTTTTCTTGAAGAATAATTACTTATATTATGCCTCTGCAGTTCTTAATGTTTGCATTAATTATTTTTTCATATAAATAATGAAATTTAAAGGTATCTGTTTGGTTGCTTCTTGTTTTAAGGGTAGCAAGTGCAGTACTGTGTCTTGATGAGTTTTTTGGTAACTGAGTTATTTCCTGAATTGCCCTAGTACAATAATAAGATAGCTAGTTGGTAAGATTATTGAAAAGTCCATTCTTAATCCTCTAAAATAAAATTAGCATAAAAGGCATAGGTAACTGGGTTTCAATCAACAGACTTACTGTTCATCTCAACCCTTGTACTTCTGGTCCCCAGCAACGAAGGTTCTGTTGTATACATTTGTGATGTTTTAATTAACCAGTATTTATTTACCTTAGATAATTGGATTAAGGCCTCTAGGAAGACCGCGCATAGACTGCACTGTTAATTCTAAGGTTAGTATTTTTAAAATAACCCAACTTTTGTTAGAGCTCTGGTGTATCTGAATAATTTAAAAGTCTAATTTAGAGTTTTATTCATTTTCCCCTTTCCCTGTCACATTTTAAAATTCCTTTATAGTGCCATTCTTAGAAGAATAAAGTTTCACCAACCTTTGTGGGTCGCCCTTCTCTGTTTGCTCATGATAATTGAAAGAGACTTGATTGCCGTGTGTATTTGATTTCACACGTATTACCTTTACAGCTCCATAGTCCACGTTTTGTTGATTCTGAGGTTCACTTTTTTCCTAGCTAAATGACTAACACTGAAGTTGGGGTTGGCTTACAACAAATGGTGTCTTATATTTTTTCCTTAATAGCACATGAATTGGTGTATATCAGTGGCATCTGAGACTTAATAAAACATGATAGAGACATTACTTTTCTCCTGTCCCTACTTAATTTTATTCAAGAGTGCTGTGCAGTTTTCATATTATGATTTCTTTTGTTTTCTCTCCATGCTGCAAGTGCATCTAAGACAAATGTGTAAATATGGGTAAGAGTTCTAAGGAGAAACTTTTTAAGTTCTAAATTTCATTTTATCATTGTGCACAATACTAACATTCCAACTCCCAATTGTGTGTCAGAAATGTTTTACTTGAAATGTTACATTGAAATCACTTCTAAAGTTGTTTGTGAAAAAAATTGTAATTCCTTTTCACCATGAATCGATTGATTTCCTGTTTGGGCAGAAAATTCTTGCTTGGTGGTTCCCACATTTGATTATGCACCAGAACCACTTGGAGAGCTCGTCGATTCCCACTGCCCAGGTCTTACTCCATTGGTCTGGGCGGAGGCCCAAAATGTGTGTTTTTACCTAAAGTTTCCAGGTGATGGTGATACTGCTGGTCTGGGGCCCACACTCTGAGAACCCTTGCTTTAGAATATTCTTATTAGTTTCCTTTCTGCGCTCATTCACTTATGAGCACAATAAAAAGTCGGGAGTTTTTGGTTTCTCATCTGTGTTGAGGTGCATGTATGTGACCGTAGGCGGGTCACTTGTGTCTTATTCAGCTCAGCAGGAAACTGGGTTAGAAAGTCAGAAGCTTACTTCAAACCAGAGGCTAAGTCACAGCCAAGCTTTTCTTGATAAACAAGCCCTTTAAAAATTTAGTGAGCATATACTGTCATCCTTAAGACACTAGAAAACACTGTGACTATAAGCTGTACAGTTAGATGCTATGCTGTGTGACTTGATGAACCTCCGTGATTGCATGTCTTTACAGTAGGAAGTTCCTAGGCTATGGTGCTAGGCTTCAGCCACGTAGAAGTGCTCATTCCTGGGCAGTGTGCCTGTGCGGGAGCTGTTGCTTTGCCCTGGGAACAGCCTGAGTGGATAAGTGGAATGGGGAGCTGTAGAGCCAGCACCACCGAGAAGGGAAGACACATGGCATTTAGGCTGGAAGGGCAAAGCTTTAATCGACCCTAAGGTTTCAGTTTTATAAACTGTTGGCCATTATAAAAATCCTCCATATAACTCATCCTGTAGGGTTTTTAATGGGTTTTTCTCCTTGTTTATCTAGTATGTATCCTTTGTTTCTAGAATAGTTGGAGGAAATATTAATGAAAAATCCTGGTCTAATGAGTCAGATTTCAAATTGTTTTTTTGTGTAAAGTCCATAAACTAATCAAAACAATTGGAGTTTTTTTGTTTATTTAGTTGTGGAATGTTTTTGTTTTAGAAATTAGAAGAAATGTTTGTACAGCATTTTTACTCCCGGGCTAGTCACAAAGGAGTGATCAAGGGGTGCCCATGCATTTTTGCGTCCTTGTACAGCAGAGGGAAACATCGCTGCACAGAGGTGACAGAACATGCTCTTGCAGGTGGCCTTTAACCTGTTCGTGTCATTCATTCTTTCGGTAGTTTATCCTCTTTCAAGAATGCATTGTTTATTTGAGAAAATTTAGAAAAATGCAAAAGAAAAAAATTGATAAATATTATCCAGAGATAATCACTGTTTAGAACATTTGGTGTGTATTCTTTAAGTATTTTATGGGTGATGATTGTATAAAAGAAATAAAATATATTAATTTTAAAACTTTATTTTGTTTTCAGTGGAACTTTGTGCTGTCAATAAGCTCTTGTACTTAGTTGCTTACAGTTTCCAACATGGTATTGTTTCATACACTTAGACGACAACTATGACATGCGCTTTGCCCTAAAGTAACGCGTTATTACTCAGACGCTCATTTCAGTATTTCACAGTCTCTGAACATTTATTTTCACAAAAGGTATAGCATGCAAGTTTGAGTGAAAGCCTCCCAACAGTATGGTTGAGGTGCAAACCAAGAGAACAGTGGAGAGTCTGCCACACCTGGGGGCCAGCCCTGTGCGGGGGGCTGAACGCAGCCTCAGTCCCGTCTCTATGAGTGCGCCTGCCCCTTAAGGGCCGTTAGGCCGAAATGAATGGGGTGCCTGGCAGTTAAGTGAGGTATCTGGTTGGAAGTACACACTGAAGTGCTCCATAAACTGTAACCCAAAAGAAACCTTTTACATTTTGGGAAACATATTTGTGTTTCCGTGAGTTAAGTCTCATAGATTATGGAAAAATGGGTTATCCAAAAGCAGTGCAGAAAAGCACTCATATCCAAGTGATTCTTTGTCTGATATAAAATGCTATTTTAGACTTTTTCTTTTAAATTTAAGAATACAGTGTTAGGGGGTGTTGGAATGAGATTGAAAAATGGCTTCTGCAGTTTCTCTTCGCCTTATCGCCTGCGCTCCCCACACACCTGTGACCTGGGTCGTGGAACTTGCCCTTTCTGTGGAGTCACCCCTGCTGCGTGCTGTGTCCCCGTGCTACCCCTCACACGTGTGCTGTGTGACATTAATGAAACAAGCTCTAGTGTTTCATGTGCTTTCAAAAATAGAAATTAGTATATTCGAATCTAGAATTCAAGAGTTTAGTAATGTTTTATTTTAATTAGTAGTAAACTTGCCACTGGTTTTAATAATTGTTATCTAGTGTGTGTTAAAGTTACAGTCATTAAAATTAGGCCTATTTGGAATGTGTCACATGAGAATTTTCGTAAATTGCTTACTAAGAAAACCGGAATTAGCTAGTAAATAGCATGAATGAGTTGGCTTATAGATGGTGATTAGATTTGTATATTTATCATGTTTATCTGTTTTTTAAATACATGGAATATAATTTTAGTAGAATCGGAATACTTTTAATTGATTTATATGTGCTCATAAATTTATTTAAGGGAAACATGGTGTTTAAACTGGTTAAGAATGGTTTTTTGCTTGGAGTACCCTAAATTGTTCCCAATAGTTTTTGTCATTGTCGTCATAGTGTCCCCCTCTGGTTACAGTTGTCATGGTTATTAATCACCTGAAACTTTGGGACTGGCTGCCTCCCAGGCCTGAGCCCTACATTCTCTGTGTGGCCGCCATTGCTTTCCGGTCCGGAAGCACAGTCCTTGACTCATTTCAGGAATGCATCCGTCCTAAACCTGCCGGTGCATTCCCGCTGCCAAGTGGCCACAGAACTGGCATTTGGTGGTTGGAAGACAAGTAAGATTTTACAGACGGTGCATGTGTAGATCTGGCAGTAAGTTGGGAGGTACTTTCATGGAAAGGCATACGAGGTAATAAAAAATGTAAGAGTCATGATAGTTTGTATCGGGGTTTAAGTCAAGATGAGCAAGTCTCTTCTCAGAAATACACTTGTAATGAATGCAGTTGGAGCAGCATTGTAGTTTCCCCGTACTGTTATAATTGATACTGCTGTGATATAAATATACTTTTAAAATTTACTTTTTTAGGACCTAAAAATTGTTTCTTTTGTTTTCTACTTTAGAGTGGAAACAAAACAGCTCTATCAGCTTATCCTCCCCAGGGAAACATAGACTTAAAATATTTTCCATATTATGGGAAAAAACTGCACGTAAGTATTTAGACATTCTTAAGTGGTGGTTCTGTTTGTGTTCCTCAATTTGAGTTTGATGTTGTTCATGATTAAATGTAGGTTCTACATTTTTGGCAGGTATGCCTCAGAAGAAATGTTACATCCTTTTCAGAATAGCCTATCAGGAGGGACGTGTTGATTAGTCCTTTCAGAGTCTGTAAAATTCCGTTTCTCCCATAGCTTTAGCATTTGTTGATTCTTGCATGAATCAGTTAATAATAGAACTGTTCCCAAATGTTTTTCTAATTTCATCTCCTTTTTCCATTTACTAGCTGCCATTCTGCTCTAAGGAAGAACTTTTTCTTCTCTATCATTTATTATGTATATCCTTATATTTTCGTGGACTCTTATAATCTGTGACAATCATTTATTGTAGTCCTAAAATTGTCCCACATTTGGCTGATGGGAAGCATTCAGGCTGGCTTCTTTGTCCTTTTGACATGCCCCTTTGATTCTTTGAGCACTTCCTTCCTTTCTGGCACTACAAGGTATTTCAGGTTCATCTGTGCTTTCCCTGTCCCAGCCCTGGAATCAGCCCCTAGTCCCTTTAGTGGAGAACCGTGTTAGAAACCACAGTGATAGTGCAGCAGCTGAGTATGTCTGTGCCGTGTTACACAGCAATCGTAAGTAGGGACAGAGGAGACCTAAGGAACCTAATCAGTGCGGTGGATCTTATGCATGTTTGTCAAACATAATAATGTGTAGATTATATATGCATATCCTCAAGCTCACCTGGAACAGCCACAGAAATTTATCATTAAAAAATACATCCCAGCCCTGGCTAGTTTGCCTCAGCAGCTAGAGCATTGGCCCAAGGACCAAAGAGTCATGGGTTTGATTCTGGTCAAGGGCACGTACCTCAGTTGCAGTTCAGTTCCCAACCCTGGTCAGGGTCACGCAGGAGGCAGCTGACTGATGTGTGTGTCTCTCTCTCTCACTCCTTCTCTCCCTCCCTTTCTGTCTAAAGGTAAATGGAAAATATCCTCAGGTGAGGATTAAAAAAATACATCCTAGCCCTGGCCAGTTTGGCTCAGGTCACAAATTTGATCCCCAACCTGTCAGGGTCGTGCGCGAGGCAGCCAATCAGTGTTTCTCCTTCCCTCCATCCCTTCCACTCTATCTAAAAATCAATGGAAAAATATTTTCAGGTGAGGATTAACACACACACATACATACATCCTAAAGTTTCATAAAGTAGAAATATACTACAGATGATACTTTCTGATCACAATGCAATAAAACTAGAAATTATTAAAATAAAAGGGTCCTTCTCAAAAGAGGGAAGGAGTCAAAACTTTTATTAAACAACTCTTAAGTGAAGGGGGAAATTCAAACCTAGATAGTAAAATATATTAAAAATACTGATAGTCAAACACAACATAATCACAACCTATGGGATACATTTAAAGCAGTACTCAGGAAAACTCATAGCCATAAACACTTTTTTTTTTTTTATCACCCGAGGACATTCCATTTTTTGTTCAGATAGAGTGGGGGGTGGGGGAGAAACATCAACATGAAAAGGACACATCGAGTGGCTGCCTCCTGCACGACCCAACTAGGGCCAGGGACAAACTGCAACTGAGGCACGTGCCCTCAGCGGGAACCAAACCCGGGTCTCTCTGGACCGCAGGCCGACGCTCTAACCGCTGAGCCAAACCGGCCAGGGCTAGCCATAAACACTTTTATCAACAAAAATTAAGTGAAAATAAATGAATATCCAGTTTCAAGGAGAAAAAAGGTAGAGAATGGAAAATAATAGATCTAATTAATAGATTTCAAAATCTTGTTGGTTTTACAGAATAGCCATTTCTCTTCCTCACCCCCCCTCCTGAAGATAAATGAAAACAATATCCTCAAGTGAGGATTTTTAAAATAAAAAAAAAAAAAAGTAAAAATATTTTACAGAATAAGCCAACTCTTGATGAAGCGTAGATAAGGTTACTTTGACTTTTAATTAATATATATATTTTTTATTTACCAGGTGAGCTATCTACAGCCGTTAGTTGCTGTCCAGCTCAGCTTTGGTGCTAGCAGTACCCCAAAAGAAGTAACAGTCGAGTGCAAGATTGTTGGATCACCCAACCTGAAAAACCATGATGATCGTGACAAGTTTTTAGGACGAGTTGTGTTTAAAATCACAATGCGTGCATAGTTGGAGTTAGAATATGTTCACAGAGTAAATGTTGTGTTGTCTGTCTTCATTTTGTATCAGCTGGACCTGACATTCTAGAATTACGAGACCACCTGAGAGAGGTGGGGTGGTACATGACACTGCGGTAACATTGTAATGTGCTTCCAGGTCGTAGTGTTCGGTGTCCTCTGAAGTAACTGCCTGTGCCTCTGCTGCCTTTGGAACCATTGCTAGTCACCAGACGGGGACTGAACACCTGCTTCTGAACATGGGGTCTTGTCCTATTTTTTTATGTGGTTTAATTGCCAGGTGTCTAAAGCTTAATGTGCTGTGCCATGTAAATATTTTATAGATTTAACACTGGTTAACTGTCATATTTTGATGCCAGCCAAGATTTAGGGGTGAAATGGTACCTGACCAACATGCAGTGACTTTACAGCTGCAAAACGTGTGTGGAGAAGTGTGTGTGTGAAGAGGAAATAAAATAAAAGCGAATTTGAAAGGTTATCTTGAGTTTTTTGTAAAGTTATTTTTTACATGCTGAATTAGTGTGTGGATCTTTTTTATTAAGAACACAAACTGTTTATTGTAAAACATGTAAAAAAGAAAAAGTAGTGATGGGATTATAGTGCTGGGGCTAAATCTCTTAATGAAAAGTATTTTAGACCATAGATGAAACAGCATTTTTAGGTTACCCAGTATGAATATGCACCTAATTTTTTAATGAAATTAAATTCCTAAGATTTAAATTGTATGATAGTTTGTGAAATATCTTGTTACTGCTTTTATTTAGCAGATTGTGGACTCTAATAAAAAATATAAATTGTAAAATATGAGACATGGAACTTATTCACAATTTCCAACCAAACGGAAGAGTGTTATTTTGGCATTCTTTGCTGTCATGAAATAGCTCCTCTTGGGAGCTGGTTACGATTCTGTCGTAATGTGAGGTGCTTTCTCTTCTGCTGAAAAGTTGTGCTTACTGTATGATCGCTGGGTTTTTTATTTTTTAACCTCACACAAGGACTTTTTTGCATTTATCTTCAGATAGAGCAGGAGGGAGAGAAGGGAGGGTGAGAGAGAGAGACACATAGATGTGAGAGAGAGACATCGAGCGGCTGCCACCCACACGACCCTGACTGGGCCGGGGACAAACCGCAACCTAGACACATGCCCTTAGCGGGAACCGAACCTGGAACTCTGGTCCGCAGGCCGGCGCTCTAACCACTGAACAAACTGGCGAGGGCTAATCACTGGGTTTTTTTAAAGCCCATTTTTTTTCATTTTCCTTTTATAAAGACAAAGCTGATTTTTTTTTTTTTTTTCATTTTTTGTTCAGATAGAGTGGGAGGGAGAGAGAGAGAGAAACATCGATGTGAAAGGTACACATCGAGTGGCTGCCACCCTCACAACCCAACCAGGGCCGGGGACAAACTGCAACCAAGATATGTGCCCTTAGCGGGAACCGAACCCGGGTCTTTCCGATGCTCTAACCGCTGAGCAAAATTGGCCAGGGCACAAAGCTGATGTTTTTGAAGTTACCTTTGTGTTGATGCAAGTCAGGAGGAATGGGAACCCACCCCACAGGCGTGGCTCAGGAATGGGTGGAGGAAGCAAGAATTTGCTGGGTGGACTGGCCCCCACCTGGCAGGTGAGACTGGGTGTCCCTGTGGCGGCCTCCACACTTTGGTAGTGGCACCCAGCCCCATCTGGAGCTGTCACTAAGATCTTAGTTATGAAAGGTTTTCGTTTCAGACGTCTTCTCAACGGAAGAAAATGATTCTCGGAGTTGTTAATAGAGCAAGCGTTTTCCAGGGTGTGGCTTTCTCCTCTAGCCTGTCTCTTGAGAGTGAAACAGGATACAACTGCTGTGACACTACTGTCATGGGCTGCAGCCAGGACATCACTGGGTTGCCAGTGTGAATGGTCAGGTCCTTGGCAACTGGCAACTTTGTCTTATGGGAAATTCATATTATTAAATATACGATTAAATTTCTATTGTGTGTTTTAAAGTATAACATGGGTCAAATTTGTCTTAATGAGCTTAGATAAAAGCAAGCTTGTTCTCAGAGCATGAAACAAGAATTGTATCCAAAGTCAGGCAGTGGGTGTGGGGAGAAAAGTGGGGATCCCCATACATCACTAAACCATGGCTGTGCCTCCTTGGTTCAGAAGTTTGGGCACAGCTCAGCCTGGCTGCTGCTGACCATAGTTGACCGACCCAACTTTTTCTGTTTCTGTTTTCTATTAAAATTAGGGGAGTTGAACAACTGTTTATCACGGGCCTGCTGTGTGCCAGGTAATGATTTGCCAGATCTCTGAGGATAGAGATGAAAAGACGTAGCCTCTCTCTCCAAGATCTTAAAGCAAGATCTCCGAGATCTTAGAACAGGCTCTGAGACCAGTGGTGGCATGTTACGGTGACGACAGTTGTGGCCAAGGGGCCGCGAGGAGAGGGTGGGAAGGAGCCGGGTCTGTGAGTTCTGAACAGTTTGAGCTCATCTCTGCTACCTCACGGGTCTTCCCCAGACCTTCACTGGGTCTTACTTGCAGCCTCTGACTCCCACGAGGGATTCTGTATCCAGCCTCCTCCTAAACGCTGCTTACCTGCCCCTCATAGATCACAGTTTGGATAACAAGGGGCTAAAGACAGCGCCTCGGCCTCGGGAAGAGCCTAGCACTGTGATTGGTGGGTGGGGAATCAGCTGTCGGTTGACTAGCTAGTATTTAAAACTCAACGAGTATGTCATATTCCTTGCTCAAGGAAAAGTGTGGATTAGTTTCCGTAGATTTCCAAGCTGGGTTATACCTGGAACTTTCGCAATGAACTCCGTTTCATTTTGATCTTGTCAGTGGGTGGAAGGTGACAAGTTCTAATGTAGTTCAATCTGTCCCACTTGGGACCGACAGGCACTCAGCCATCTGCCATGTTACAGAGACCTGTAACTTAAGCTCTGTCGCCCTTTCTTGGTGATTTTGCCATTTGTGGTGAGATAAGAAAGGCTGGTTTTTGTCTCCACAGAGTCCAGGTGTGCAGGCGGCCCGTCACTGCAGGTGCCTCCTGCGCCCACTGCCCCGGCGGAGCAGAGTCTGCTGGAAGGTTCCATAGACTGTCCCTGATCCTTCCTCTGAAGGGCAGGGGAGGGCGAGCTGGCCTTAAACCCTGATTTACATTCGATGCTTAAAAATCTTACACAATTCTCTTAACTGTAAATTGAGGGTAGTGCCACCCTTGCAGTCTGCAAGGGTTCAAGGAGAAAATACACATCCAGTGCCAACACGCAGCCCACGTTCATGTTTAAGGGCTCGCCTCTTGAGGTCACCGGCTTCAGGAGCGTTTCCTTCCAGGTAACTGGGAACAAACAGCCTCCTGTGTTTCCATTTGGCTGCCGTGCTGGCGCGATTGTTTTCCACTCGAGAGGGGAGTGGAGAAGGGAGCCCTGGGTGCGTCGGCCGCAGCCCTGCAGGGGTTCGGTGAAAGGGTGTCGCCGATAGTGCGTGTGAAGCGGTGCGTGTGGAATTTGTTTCACCTGGTTTCTGCTTTAGTAGAGACAAGTTGGAGTTTAAAGAAAACAGACGTTTGCGGAGTTAATTTCAGGGATTTCCAGATCCCAGCAGTTCCCACACTGGTGGGGTGTGCTTTGAGCTGTGTCCTGGGGTGCTCCGCACTAAGCGCCCTCCAGGGTGGCCAGAGCTTCAGAGGCGAGGCCCGGCGGGAAGGCGTCCCGCGCCGGCTCAGAGAAGGCTGTCGGGCAGCACCAGACGCAGTGCGTGTGCTGTTTGAACAAACCAACTTCTCACGTGCTACTGACTGCTGTCCTTCAAATAAGCCCCTTTAGGGCAATCGTGCTACCAAGTTTTAACCTTCAGCACTTTTCAGGGATGACTCTTGCGTGTCCTCTCAGGAGCCTGGAGTATAGTCTTTTTTTTCTTATTCTATTTAATTAATTTTGTTACAGATGTTTCTCCTTTTTCCCCCATTGGCACGCTCCTCCCCCACACACACACGTATTGTTGTCTGTCCATTGGTTATGCGTACATGCATATAAGTTCTGTGGTTTATCTCTTTCCTCTCTCCGCCCCCCTCCTCTGAGGGTTGTCAGTCTGCACCCTACTTAAATGTCTCTGGGTCTATTTTGTTCATCACCTTATTTTGTTCATTATATTACACAAATAAGTGAGTTCATGTGATACTTGTCTTTCTCTGACTGGATTATTTCGCTTAGCATAATACACTCCAGGTCCCTCCGTGTCGTCTCAAAGGATAAGGGATCTTTCTTACAGCTGCATAGTACTCCATTGTGTATATGTAACGCAGCTTTTTAATCCACTCACCTACTGAGGGGCACTTGGGCTGTTTCCAGATCTTAGCTATTGTAAACAGTGCTGCTATGAATATAAGGATACATATATTCTTTCTGATTGGTGTTTCAGGCTTCTTAGGGTATATTCCTAGAAGTGGGATCACTGGGTCAAATGACAGTTCAATTTCTAATTTTTTTGAGGAAACACCATAGTGTTTTCCATAGTGGCTGCACCAGTCTGCATTCCCACCAGCAGTGTACTAGAGTCCCCTTTTCTCCACACCCTCACCAGCACTTGTTTGATGATTTGTTGATGGCGGCCATTCTGACAGGTGTGAGGTGATACCTCATAGTTGTTTTATTTATTTATTTATTTTATTTTTTCTTTACTGATTTTTTTTTTTTTAGAGAGGAAGGAAGAGGGAAGGAGAGATAGGAACATTGATGAGAGAGAACATTGGCCGCCTTCTGCATGACCCCAACTGAGCATTTGGCCCACAACCTGGGCATGTGCCCTGACTGGGAATTGAACCCGGGACCTCTTGGTGCATGGGTCGACACTCAACCAGTGAGCCACATTGGCTGGGCCCTCACAGTTTTAAGTTGTATCTCTCTGGCAATTAGTGACATTGAGCATTTTTTCATATGTCCCTTGGCCATTTGTATGTCCTGTTTGGAGAGGTGTCTATTTAAGTCCTCTGCCCTTTTTTTTTAATCCTCACCTGAGGACACTTTTCCATATTTTGTTCAGATAGAGTGGGAGGGAGAAAGAGAGAAACATCGACGTGAAAGGGACACATCGAGCGGCCACCACTCACATGACCCAACCAGGGCCGGGGACAAACTGCAACCGAGGTACGTGCCCTTAGCGGAACCAAACCCGGGTCTCTCTGGACCACAGGCTGACGCTCTAACCGCTGAGCAAAACTGGCCAGGGCATCCTCTGCCCATTTTAATTGGATTATTTATCTTTCTTTTGTTGAGTTGTATAAGTACTCTACTTTGAAATTAACCCCTTATCTGCTATATAATTGGCAATGATGCTCTCCCATATGGTGGGTTCCCTTTCCATTCTGATGCTTGCTTCTTTTGCTGTGAGAAGCTTTTGAGTTTGATGTAGTCCCATGTGTCCATTTTCTCCTTTGTTTCTGTTGCCTTAGGTGATGTATCAGTGAAAATTCTGCTGCATATGATGTCTGAAATTCTGTTGCCTACATTTTCTCCTAGGATTTTTATGGATTCATGAGTCACATTTAAGTCTTTTATCCATTTTGAGTTTATTCTTGTGTATGGTGTAAGTTGATAGTCTAGTTTCATTTTTTTGCATGTAGCTGTCCAATTTTCCCAACACCATTTATTAAAGAGGCTGTCTTGACTCCACTGTATGCTCTTGCCACCTTTGTCAAATATTTGTCTAGAAGACATATCCAGTGGGGTCAGTGGGGTGTTAAAATCACCCATTATGATTGTGGAGTATAGTCTTTAACTGTTGTCA